GGAGCTGTGAGGTGCAGACACCCTGCGCTTGCTGGAGAAGTGTAGCCCAAGTCATCTGTCCTTCAGAGATGGCCCCAAACTAGGGCCATTCTCTCCCATGTGTGGGCTCAAGGTTCCTCTCTAAAGACAAATAAGAAAGCAGCCTGGTTGGGGTGGGGCAGGGAGAAGTGGAGCTGCTAAGTGATCTGTCACACACACAGACACGCACGCATGCACGTACACACACAGTGCAGGATGGCACTGTCTAAGGACTCCAGGAGCCCAGAGCCAGAGAAAAGCCGTCACCTGGTGGGGGTTCAGCAGTTGTTCAGGTGTTGTCATGGTGGTCAAGTGGGGCGGTCAGGGTCAGGGGGGAGCAGGAGCAGGGTCTCCAGGTCTCCTAAGGTGATGGGAGGATGCCGGTGACCTCTCTGGCTGTCTTTCAGGGTCCCGAGAGCCCCGAGACCAGACAGAGGACCCATCTCTAGAGCGCGCGTGGTGCCTAACCATGTCCCCACGGCCTTTTGTTCTGTGCATTCAATGTCCAGAACTTTGTACCTAAGCAAATCCAAGACTTCTTTTGAAAACTTTTTGGGAATTGTGTATTTTACCTTTTGCTGAGGTACTGGGCATGGAACCAGGGTCTCAACACTGAGCTACATCCCTAGCTCATTTTTAATTTTTATGAAAGCAGAGTCCCTAAGGCTGGGCTTGGCCTGTTATCTTCCTGCCTCAGCCTCCGAGTGCTGGGGTCACGGCCCTGCTGTGCCATGGTTGGTTTAGGGACTGGGACCAGAACTCTAGGAGACACTTGAGGGAGTAGTTTGTTTTCTTCTGAGAGAAGCCACCAACAGTGGCCAGGGCAGAGAGGTGGGACCCAGCCCAGCCCTGCAGTTGTGACTCACTTGTTCACTGACTGGTTCTCAGTGTGTGGACCTTACTGGTCGCTCTGGGTGCTGGTCAGGGACAGGGGCGGAGCCTGGGTCCTTTTCCTCTTGGGATGGTTCTCCTGGTGCAGACAGAGGTGCCTGCACCACAGGTCAGTAGGAGCTCCTGGAGGAAGAGAAAGGGGAGAGGCTTGTTGCTAGGAGATGACTCATCAGCCAGGGCTCCAGGAGGCATGGGCACACAGAGCAGCCACCGCCGGAGGGGACAGCAGGACAGGTGGTCACCTGCCCCTGCCACCCTCTGGGACGTGGTTAGGGCCATGTGCGCCAGGCTGAAATCTGGTTAGTGTTGTGTCCCAGCCGCACGGAGCCCAGTTATCAGAGCCCGGGGCCAGCAGGCACCAGTGCTGGGGCGGCTTCCGAGAATTGGGCCGGGGCTTGCCGTGTGGTGCCATGAACAGGATCCTTGGGGCCTACTCCTGTGTCAGGCAGGGTCCCATCCTGCTCCAGGTACCCCGGGAGGGTGCCAAAGAGCCCAGGGGCTGCTGCTTCTGGCTGGGGGCACTGGGGCTTGAATCCAGGACCCGTGCACTGAACTACATCCCTCGTCCTGTGTTAAAAAACAAAACAAAACAAAAAAACTATTGTGAAGATTTTGAGACAGAATCTCCTTAGGTTGTCCAGGCTGGGCTCCAACTTTCTATCCTCCTGCCTCAGCCTCCCAGAGTGCCGGGATGACAGGTGGCCACCACCATGCCCCGCTGGGCTCCGTAGTCAGCAATGGAGGGACCGGACCCAGTGCCGCTGTCTTTATCAGGGTGCAGCTGGCTGACTAAAGGAGAGCTGAGGACACATCTGTCCCTCTGGGTCATCCACCTTTATGCTCAGTTCTGGACCGTTACTGCCTGTGGTGCCGGAGGTCGTCTAGGACGTAGGGGTCATGGTCAGTCTAACGAGGTCATTGTGATGATTAAATGTAAGTAATGAGCAGCTCTGAGCCTCAGGCTTTGCCACGGAGTCAGCACTGAAAAAGTGCTACTCAACCGGGCACGTCCATCAGCTCAGCACCCTGGGAGGCTGAGGCAGGAGGATGGCAAGGTGGAGCCCAGTCTGGGCGCCGGGAGCAATTTAGGAAGCCTCTGTCTCAACATAAAAAATGACTGCAGAGTAGTTCAGTGCTAAAACCCTGAGTTCAAACCCCAATACCGAAATAAAAGAAGAAGAGGAAGAGAAAGAAAGGAGGAAAAAGTTGTGGATTTTTGTTTTGTTTTTGTAGTACTGGGAAGAAAGAAAGAAAGAAAGAAAGAAAGAAAGAAAGAGAGAAAGGAAGGGAGGAAGGAAGGAAGGTAGGAAGAGTCATTCCTGTTCTCAGCAGGGCTCCTCTCTAGGACAAAGCAGAACTTCCTGTTTCTCCGGAACTTTCAGAATCAGCGCAGATGAACCAATCACATCCTAAAGGTAACTGGGTAACAAAGCTCTCTGTGGACCAGGCCCATCCAGGAAATCTGCAGTCATAGAACTGGTGACCAGACCGCCCTCTGCACCCCGTAAGGTGGAAGACAGTTTAACGGGTGGCTGTACCTGTAGCCCTGACAGCAGAAGCCTGCCTTTATTGGTTAAAGGCGATTACCATCTCAGGTGACATTTAGCTGAGAGAATGCAGTGGAGCTCTGGTCACTTCTCAGAGATTGGTGACGTGGAGAAGGCAAAACAAGAAGTGCTGATATCTGGGGAGATTCTGGGGGTTTCCTGAGCTACGTAATTTTTACTATTCTCTTATTGCCATAGACAAAGCACATTGAGAGTCTCCTGTCTACTAACAGAGCTGCCAGGTCCCTTAAACACTGAATTTTAATATTCAATTACATATCAGGATGAGATCGCATGTACCAGTGGGGAGCTCCTCCCCCCCTGATGGATAAAGGCAGAGTAGGGACATGGGGTGCTCGGGACAAAGGGCTACCCTGAGAGGATGGCAGGAGTGGGGTGCAGAGGAGTCTGAGGTGAGGAGGGTGCATGTCCCAGCACCCTCACTAGTGTGGCACCTGCATCTCTGAGTTCCAGAGAAATCCCGAGTGCAGCCTGGTGCCCGTGATGCCCCTGGCATGGTGGCCTCCTGCCCCAGGGAGCGACTGGAGTGACCCTGGGTCCACCCAGCTTTGGTGCTGCCTGGCCCAGTGCCTGGACTTGTTGCCCACAGGCTCAGCAAGGTCCTGGAGTTCGGAGCACCCTTCCCTGGGCTCCCACATCCCGGGCCACTCCCAACTGTCCTCCTACCCTGGGCAGACGCCATCTAGAGGTGCTAGGAGTCACACATTGGGTCCTGGCCTGGCTCCGCTCCCTCTCCATCTCCTGCTGTTCTGTGCCAGCCATGTTCCCCCTCTCAGGGACTGTCCCTAGCGAGCTGGCTCTAGGGCTCTCTCTGTTTCTCAGGACCTCACACTTCAGTGATGCTGACCCTGCAGCTTCAGGCCTGCCTGGCTCTGTCGGGCCCAGGACAGTGCCTGGGGGTGGGTGCAGTGCAGGGCACGGTTCAGCCCAGGTGGCCGTGGTCACTGTTGCTGAGAAACAGGGCTGAGACTCTCCTGCAGCTCAGCTGGGGCAGGGCAGGGCAGAACCTACCCATAGCAAAGCATGGAGACACACACCTGTGGTGCTGGTACTCTGGGAGGCTGAGGCAGGAGGATTGTAAGTTGGAATCTTGCCTGGCAACTTGGCCACATAGCAAAACCCTGACTCAAAAACTGAGAAGACACTGGGGATACATCAGTGTGCAGGCCCTGAGTTGAGTACCCCGTACTGAAAACAAAACCATGCACAGCAGACAGCTCGCCGCTGTAGACTGGCCCTTCGTCTCTCCTGAGGGGTGAACTCAGCCATGGGCCAGGGAAACCCTCCTGGTTCATCCTCAGGCCTGCTGTGTGGGGGTTCAGCAAAGGCTGTGTCAGTCGCATTGAACTTTACATTCTCGTCCTAGCTGAGGAGAAATGTCATTATCCCCACAGAACACCACACCTGGAAGTCATTTAGATTGTCTGCTCTTGGAAGCATACTTTTTGTGTCAGTACTGGGGCTCGAACCCAGGACCTTCACAATGAGCTACATCCACAATCCTTTTTACTTTTTAACCTTGAGGCAGAATCTCATTAAATCCCTAAGTTTTCTAGGCTGGGACTGAACTCGAGATCACCCTGCCTCAGCTTCTTACAGTGCCAGGGTTACAGGTGTGTACTGCTAGGCCTGGTGCCTAGCTCAGAGTGTCTTTTTGTTCACTTGAGGAGAGTTTCAGCTTAGCAAGTGGGTCTCAGCCTCTGCTCTGCCCCTGAAAAGAGCACTTTCTGACCATACAAAGCAGACAGACACGTCCAGATCTCAGAGCGCAGTGGGTCCGGCGGAGATGGTCAGGCCATGGGATCAATGTCCTGGGGGGAGGGGAGGCAGCGGACTAGGCCTGGAAGGAGGATGGCTGGTATCCTGGTGCGGCTGCCTGTTTTTGTTTTTGCTTTGTGTTGTGGTACTGAGTGTTGAACCCAGGGCCTTTGTGCTCCAGCCCCTTAATTTTTGAGACAGGATCTAAGTGGTTAAGTTGCCCAGGCTGGGCTTGAACTTGAGATCTTCTGGCCTCAGCCGTCTGATGTGGCTGACCCTGAAGGTTCAAAGAGTTCTTCAAAGCAACCACCAAGAACCCTTGCATTCATGCCTCGGGCACCCACAGCCTGCTAGCGTGTGTATCACGCCTGATGCACTAGTTCTGTGCTCTGCACACACACACACATACACGTATACATGTACACATGTACACACATGACACATACCCCCAAAGTGGGAGGAAATGCCTATGCTTCCTGCTTCACAGAGAGAACTGTGACCTCCCAGCCTGGAGATGAACTTGGCCATGCAGGACACAGGAGTTCCTGTCACCCCACTTGCAGCCTGAAGCTCAGCTTCTGATCTGCACATCGGCCTCTGTTAACCTGAAACTTCCTCCCAGACCTGGCCAGTGGGCATCCTGGGTCTCCGTCTCCATGGCAATGGGCACAGTGAGAGCCCTGGGCCATCCTGGCCATGATGCACAGAGGTCACCGCTGGGATGCAGCCAGGAGAGATGCAAACCTGCCCACTCTTTCCCTGCAGGTGGTGGCGACGCTGGGGACAACCAACTGCTGCTCTTTCGACAGCCTCCTAGAAGTGGGTCCCATCTGTGAGTGTTCCATTCGGTTCCTTCCCCGTGACTGTTTCTGGTGTTTGGGGAATTCAGCAGCTTCCTCTTTGGGTCCTGGTCACTGGTTTCACAGGGCAATGGTCTTCCAGAGTCTGGAGGCCTCTGCAGTGAGATGGTCCCGGGGTGAGAACTGCACAGCCTCAGCACTAGCTGATGGGTGAGCTGAGTGTGGCACTGAGTGTGGCCCTGTGAACGCACTACTGGGTAGGGGCCAGGCCCTTCCTGGCGAGGCCACTGGATGTAGCACCGCAGGCTGTGCTGTCCCCATTGATAAGAATGAACCTCCTGAATCCTAGAGCAGCAAACCCTGGCCTTGCAAGCTCCTGCGGTGCCTGATGCACCCCCAACCTGAGGCTCCCATTCACTGAATCTTCCCACAGCCTTGGAACCCAGCTCTTTGGACTCAGCCACACTCTGGCTGCTTTTTAAGGATGATAGTCAATTGCTAAGTTGCCGGGGTTCATCTTGAACTTAGGGTCCTCCTCCCAGCCTTACATGAGTGCTCACCTGCCCAGCCTAATGTCCTGACTTCAGCTCTGGGGTGGGGGGAGTTACAGGCTGAGCATGGTGGTGTGTGCCACGGGCTGGGTGACTGCTAACCTTGCAGTGAGGAGTCTGTGGGCCCCCACCTCGACTCCACTGGGGAACAGGGCTGCCCTGAATGCTTTGGTGAATAGCTTAGTTTAGCAAACGCGCTCTCTGGTCTACAGTGGCCCTGTGTCTTGGGTGCCCTCCTGGCTGTCCCCAACCTCTGCCTCCTTGCCTCAGGCAGACACCGAGGTTCTGGTGGAGACAGAAGTTCTGATCTCTGAGGTCCAGAAGGACTGGGAGAGGCCACCACTTCACACTTAGCTCTGCAGGGTTCTGCTCTCCCCAGGGCCGCAAGTACTCTGTGCACAGCGGGGCCACCACCAGCGAAACTCCTTTCTCTTTCCCTCTTGATATCAGTGCTCCATATCAGTGCTCCGGGTAGCACTGCCCTGACTGGGCTCCTCAGGCCACATCCTGGGTCTTGAAGCCATCGCAGAACCTTCAGTGTAGACCGCGTGTCTGGTCCCTGCACTCAGGCATGGGCTGTGGCTCGCCTGCCCCTGCACATGTCTGCTGAGTCCATGGTGGCAGGCGGCTGGCGGGCCTGTAAGGCTGCCAAGCAGGAGGGATAGGCCGGGTGGACGTGCGGCCTCCTCCTTGGATCCTGGCCAGCTCCACAGCTCCAAGGCCCTGATTCAGACTCTGGGAACTGGACGTCCCGGCCGGCAGGGCTGATGCAATCCCCGGCTGCTGGCGGAGTCAGAGGGCTGAGGACTTCTGTGTCCAGGAGGTGACAGCTCCGCCGCTGAGCACAGTGCCCTGAGTGACCTGCGCAGTCACAGGGCTGGGGCCCAGGGACCCGAATTGTTTGATCTCTGCCCAAGGGCTGCTTCAGCACCAAAGCCCTTTCATTCTCGGCCGGCAGCTGCACTCAGGGACGGCGTCACAGACACGGCGGTGCAGTCAGTGCCTTTGACCCACGTCCTCCGTCCGAGACCTTGTCTGTGACTGTGCTTAAGTACTAAGGCTCCTGCAGCCTGGGCAGCACGTTCTCAGAGCCCCAGCAACCCCATCTTTTGGAGCCATTGCAAGAATCTGTTACCTGAGCATTATGGCATAGCACTCTGGGGGGCTGAGGCAGGACAGTTGCCAAGTCCCAGTGATTTAGGGTTGCCCAGGCTGGGCTCGGACTTGAGATCTTCCTGCATCAGCCCCTAGAGTGCTGATTGAGGAACGTGTTGGATGGAGTCATTCATGCCGGCACAAGGGGCTTTGTCTGGATCACTTTTCTCATCCTTGGGACGAGATACTCAGCACCCAAGGCTTAAAGGGGGAGAGGTGGCTCCAGGTGGCCAGCAACCCAGGCGGGGAGCTGCTTACTCTGCGGTGGACAGCAGGAAGCACAGAGAGCAAGGGACAGGCAGGGCATGGGGACAGGAAGGCCCACCGCATGGTCGCCCCGGGAATTGGTTTTTCTGACCAGAGCCCCACACCGTATACTGCCCCTGAGGCCCAGTATCCTCCGCACTCAGAGCATACTACCGACCCCTGTGGTGGCCTTGGTTTCTGGCATCAGCTGCCAGGGTCACTGGCACTACTGGGGTTGACTGGCACAGTGACAGCCTGGCGCCCGCTCCAGCAAGGTGCTGAGCATATCCCGGCCGCATGTCTCATCTTGTCCACTTGAGGGTTTTGTTGTGGTCACTTGGGCCTGACTGGGTGGAGAGCACAGTGGTCCACCCCACCCCCAGCCTTCAGGAAGGTGGATGGTGACAGCCCGCAGGTACGCAGGACCCCACTCCCTCAGCCACCCACCATCTCAGTGCTTGCCCACCTTGTGGCCCTGCCAGGGGCACCGGACAAGGGCAGCCTGGCCATGGAAGTCACATCCCCATCCCCGCTCTGAGCGTGGGTGTGACAGGCTGTGGTGAGTGGGTCCCACGGTGTCACCCAAAGATGCAGGCACCCACCTCTCCTCCTTGTCTATGGAAAGAATGAAGCTGGGAAGGGCAGAGGGGCAAAGCCGAGGAGAGTCCAGGACAGGAGCCGTGCTGGTGGGTGGCCGAGAGGTGATCCTGGCTGCTCACTGGCTCCACGCTCAGCTCTTCCGTGCGGGACAGCACTCACCTCACCGCAGCGATGCCGGTTCCAGGGGGCAGGGGCCTTGGGAGGGGCCGTCCTGGGTGCCCACATCCCATGGCTGTGTGGGACGGGGTCCATGGGATGCAAACTTACTCGCTGCTTCTGGTTGCAGGCAACCAGGAGGAAATGTGGCTCCACATCGATGCAGCGTATGCAGGCAGCGCCTTCATCTGCCCGGAGTTCCGGCACCTTCTGGATGGAGTGGAGGTGGGTGCCGCCATGCTGTGCTGGGGGAGCCTGGGGCTCTGCACATGCTGGGCAGGTTTGCTGCCCTTGTGCTGCAGCCGGCGCAGTGCCATTTGCTTTCTCTCTAGTTGTGGTACTGGGGATCCAACCCCGGAGGTTTATACTGAGCTACCTCCCTAGCCCTTTGCATTCTTGCATTGTGAGACAGCCTCTCCATAAGTAATTTACTCTGGCTGGGCTCAAACTTGAAACTTTTGCCTCAGCCTCCTGGAGTGCTGGGATTGTGGGTATGCGTCTCCAACCCCAGCTCTAAGGTCCCTTTTTAAAAACACTGAGTTATCAGTGAGTTCTTCCCCTATGAGACTCTGACAATTCTTTTCCAGCATTCCCAGCAATTCTTGACCAGGGCCTTTCCTCAGGAGAAGGCCGCAGGGCCCACCGAGTCCTTTTTCCTGTGACCCAGCGGCACCCTCAAGGCCGATGCTGCCTTCCTGTCTGGTTGCCAGACATCCGGGCAGAGCTGTGCGTGTGATGGGCAGACTCAGCTTAAAAAGCATGGGGAAATATTTAGGGACAGGGACAGGCGGAGTTTTCAGTGCATCTCACTCCAAGTTGATTAAAACCCAGCTCTAGGTCTCACTGCCCAGCTTGCCCTGCTGCCCCTTCCCTTGGACACCCGGCGCCTGGTGCAGTGAGTGTTTAACTGGTCTGGTCATGTGCCATGTGGACTGTGTAGATGGAAAACCAAGCAAAAGCCCTGCTGCCCAAAGGACAGCCTGTAGTGAGCTCCTCCACAGAGCATAGAATGCAAGACATCTGACTTCTCGAGGTATAGACCCCAGCAGGATGGCACAGAGGTGGCAGCTTGAAGCCTCCCCCACAGGGACTCAGATAAAGGCTATGTAGCCTTCCTGGGCAGTGTGTCCAGGGAAGGAGACATGAAATCGGGGAGCCCATTGGCCAGGGAAGAATGGCTTTCCTCTCGGGGTCAGAGACTTCCTCCTGCACAGATACAGGTGAAGGGCGCGGCTGTGGTCCCCAGTTCCTGGTGTGAACCCTGTGCCTGTGCTCAGAGTATCCAGGCATCTTCAAGCAGGTTAGGGGTCCTCTCACAGATAGATGCAGGGCAGCTATGACTCTGTTGTAGATGAACTGATCATGTGGGAATGCATGAGAACAGCCCGGCACTCGGGAAGCACTGAGCACACATGAGAGGCCTTACTAGCTTTCACTGTGGCGAGGAGAGGTGTCCCCCAAACCCCTCTCTGCTCAGACATCCTGCTCACTAATCATTTTCTAAGTGCCATTTTGAATTCTTCTAGTGCTATAACCCCAGCCAGCCAGCCAGCATCAGAGGTGGGTCCCGTCTCTGGAAGGAACCATCCTCTGATTACTCACCAGGCAGGCATTTGGTCATTCATTCAATAACTGTTTGCCCAGAGCTTCATGCATGCAGAGTTCAGCAGCTGGAATGGGGGGGCATGGTGTTCCAAAAACCTGAGGAATTGCGGGAGGGGGCTGCCTGAAAGAAATTCTGAAAAGGAGCTGCACCCCTTAGTTTACAGCCGAGGCTGTGTAGGTGGCAGTTTCATGCTGGAAAATAATGAAAAAGTTTCTTCAGGTTGAGCCTGCTCTGTGTGTGTGTGTGTGTGTGTGTGTGTGTGTGTGTGTGTGTGTATGAGAAGGGCTTGTGTTTAAGATACTGGAAAAGACTGCAAATATAAAGGCTGAGACACAAGAAAGCACTGGTTTAACACTAATGAAATCCCTAAGAATTAGGATTTGGAGAAGGTAGAAAAATTCACCTAAACATTTTGAAAAACAGAACTGCTGCAAAAATAAGCTGATGTGATTCCTTTCACACTAAGAGTCTCCTAGAGAGTCCTCGCATGATTTTTATTAAACTGGAGAGCCTGGCCGGTTGGTATAGGTTTCCTCATATGCAAAACAGAAATAAGGGGGTTCCCTCTCTGGTGCCCTGTTGGCAAGAGCATCTGTCCTTGGCTTGCTTATGAGGCAGAGCTGCTTGCTCATGACCTGGGACAGGACATTGCCATCTTGCAGGCATCTCCTCCCCTGGGCGGAGTCAGGCCTTGAGCTGGGATCCAGGAACTCAGAATGCTGCAGGGTTGCAAATCTACCTTAAGCAAATAACACAGTGACCAGTAGGGGGAATTTTTTTTTTTTTTTTTTTAAGATTACAAACTGAGTCCTTTTGGTGTATTTCCAAAGGTACAATATTTTCTTTCATTTCTCAGTGAAATAAGTTAAAACCAGCTTCCAGAAAGAAAAATCAGGAGGTGGGAAAGTCATTCTAGAAAAAAGAAGCGGGCAGGACAGTTCCCACCACCTTAATGAGTTTCATCAGATACTGGATCTGCTACAGGGTGGAGAAAGAAAACGGCAACTTGCAGAAAGGAGTGTGTTGTTAAATAAGGCAAGGTGCCTGCGCATGCCTGCCTAAGAGACCCAGGTGGGACCCGCTTTCCTAAAGTAGATGTAGGTCGTGGGATGAGGAATCAGTCTATCCTCTCCCAGGTTGTGAACGCACAGGTCTGTCTTCTGAGCAAGCTGGGGGTCAGGATGAGGGGGAGCACTTGTCGATAGGGACCAGTGAGGGGAACCCCCTTAGTTCTGTTCTGTGTATGAGGAATTGTATACCAACCAGCCAGGCTCTCTAGTTTAATAAAAACCCTAAGGGCTGTCCATGGTTAATGAATTAAAAAAAAAAAAAAAGACTAAAAATAAACCACCTTAGACACATCCCCCAAAAAAGGAAGGGAAAAAATACCAAAAGTCAGGTGTGGGGGTGATGCCTAAAATCCCAGTACTCAACAGGCTGAGGCAGGAGGATCATCAGGAGTTTGAAGCCGGATTGGGCTACATAATGAGCTCATAGTGAGACTGCATAGTGAGACTGAACTGCATAGTGAGACCCTGTCTCAAAAAGACAAAACAAATAACAGTGACAAAATCCTACAGTGTCCCTGGGAGTAGCACGGATCGTTCACCTTAGTCTCTTACGGAGCCATCACTAGCAGGCCTCCACTAGCATGAGCTTCATTGGAAACTCTGAAATCCAGAGTCTTCTGAAGGCTGACACTGTGTCCCTGACATAATGTCACCCATGGAAATTTTATTTTTATTTTGCTCTTTTTTATTAGTGTAAGTTTGCAGTGCATAGTAATTGCACTCATCCTAGGGAACCAGGCCTAGACATGTTGCATCTTGGTCCTCCCTGCCTTCCTTCCGTCTCCTCCCATCCTCAGACCCTCCCCATCTCCACAGTCTGTCTCTCCATTTCTTCTCTCCTATCCTCTCTTCAGGGTGTTGCTTACGGAGCCCAGGCTGATTTTGAACTCCGATTAATCTTCCTGTCTCAGCCTCCCAAGTGCTGGTATTACAGGTGTACACCTCTATGCCCAGCTCTTTATTTTGCTTTTTAAATACTTTAATTTCTCATATAAAAAAGCCAAGCAATTCACACATGGGAGTTTTCATACCATGAAACTATTTTATACTCATTTTTTTCTTTCTGTGTAACTGAGGATTGAACCCAGGGCTTTTGCACTGATGTACAGCCCTTTCTATTTTTACAGCATTATGACATTGCTACTGCAAACAGACACACTAAAACAACACCCAGGATTTGGAGGCAGATTTGTTTACGTCTATGGGCACTAGTGGGGATCATTCCCAGAATATCAGGCCCTGATCTCTGACGGTCTAGGGATTTTCTATGATGCACAAGCATCAGATACAGAGGCGAGACAGAACAGCCTGGGAGCACTTCTGATCAGCTAGCAGGGTGAGATCATCGGTTCAAAGCTGGATTAGTGATCGTGGTGCAGTCAGGCCTCTGCGTGTTCAGCTGTGATCTTGTGGGTACAAGGTCAAGAAAGTTAATCACAGAGCCAGGAGGCAGTCGCAGTGCTAGGCACTCTCAAAAGAACAAAGTTTTAAAAAATGAACAGTTTTTCTCTTTGAAGATAGGATCTTGCCAAGGTGTCCAGGCTGAACTGGAAGTTTGTCCCCCCTGCCTCGGCCTTCCAGAGCACTGGGATTATAGGTGTGCCGCACACCGAGTGATCTAAACCTACAATTTACAATTACCTTCCTGTTCAAATGCCTTTTCTATCACCAGAAGTGGTTGTCTCTGGACAGGCCTGAGGGAAGAGGATTCCCAGGCAGGCCAGGCCTGGCTTGTGTGACCCGGCCCTGGGTTTAGGGCTTCCTGATCCTCTCTCCCTTGCAAATCTGGATGGCGCCTTTCACAGGGGTGCCTGGCACCCAGGACAGGCCTGCTGTCTTGGAGCAGATCTTAGAGCAGATCATATCAGCACCAGACAGCCTTCCTGCTCAGCCAGGGGCTATCCAGCCCCCTCCCTGCTGGCCCCTTACAGCCTCCTGTTCTCTGCTGAGGGGCTCAGCTGCTCAGGTGGTCAGATAAGCGGCTGCAATATCCTGTCTCAGCCTCACCCTGCAGATAAGAGCCTTTCTCCTTCGGTCAGCAGGAGGGAAATGCACTCTTGGTAATGAAAGCAGCTTAAACAGAGCAGCCCCCGGGAGAGGAGGGAGCTCATAAAACCCTGCAAGCAAAGCTCCTTTTAACCTTTTGCTTTCTTTTATCAACAAATGAAACCTGGCTGCAATTTCCTGTCTCTTTCTCAAAATTAGATTTTATGAATCCTAGAAGGAAATGAATTGGCATGTCCAGGGTGGCATGGGTCCTTGGGTCCCAGTGCCTCCTGGCCTGGGCCCTGACTGCAGGCTCACCCTCAATGCCAGCTGATCACAGGGGCACAAAGCACTGGAGCTGGGGTGCGGGTCCCTCCCCTCCATCCAATGACCAAACAGGACGCGCTCAGGACAGCACCCACTGCCCTCCCATGCCAGGCTGGGCGGCTGAGGTCTCTTATTTTTTCCATGGGAATCTGGCTCGTGGATCTGGAGACAGCTGTCTGCAGTTTCCACGCATGATTTGCAGCAGTGAGGGATGAAGTGAATTTGGGCACCACCTTTAAAAATAAAGAAGAGCCAGGCTGTAATCCCAGCAAACTGGAAAGCTGAGGCAGAAGGATTATAAATTCCAGCTCAGCCTGGGGAATTTAGCAAGACCCTGTCTCAAAATCTTAAAAAACTCCGACTGTAGGAAGAGCGTTCTATGAGTGGCAAGCTGGGCAAAGAACCAATCTGTGAAATCGAAATGGATTTCTCCCTGATCGCGGGTGGTTAGGTCTGAAATTGCCACTGTCTCATTTTACCACACTGCACGGCTCTGTGAGGCTCTGTGAGGCTCTGTGAGGCTGTGTGAGGCCCCTGGAGCTGAGGGAACCAAGAAATATTTCCTGGCCTAATCAGAGTGATTTCTGCACACAGCTCCTGTGAGTTAAGAATTCCAAAAATTCCAGCATACTTCCAAGCACAGCAGTGTGGATGTGTCGTAGGAAACCGTGTAAATCTGAAAGTGCTGATCTCGGGGAATATCAGCTCTGAATGACTGTGTCTGGGGCCTGGTTTCATACCTGAATCTTGACAACTTACAGGTTTTCCTTTGTTTGCTCAGTTTGCAGATTCCTTTAACTTTAACCCCCACAAATGGCTTTTGGTGAATTTCGACTGCTCGGCCATGTGGTAAGTGTCCCTGCCTGTGACAGGCAGCAGAGCCCAGGCCAGAGAGATGACAGCACCCGATAGGAAGGTGTGGCATGCAGGGTGGGGGAGCTGAGGGTGGGCCTGCGGCTGCTATCTCCCCTCTGAGCTGTTGATGGGATTCTTGCTAAATCTCAGCCAGGCTGCAAACTTTATCCAGAACACATTGCTGCAACACAGGCAGAAGACAGGGGAGAGACTCATCTGCAATGTGATTTATCGGGCTTTAAGAGAAAACAAATCCAAGGAAATATCGGGACATAGTGGCACTTGGGTGCTTTTCTGTTTTAAGTCTTCAGCTCATCACCCATCTTAGTCTAATGCCAAGGTCTAAAGCAATCTAAGTCAAAATGCCCCAAAACATTTCCTAAGTAGTAAAAATAACTGGGTCCCAAGAACATCCCTGGAAATTCTTAATAACAGCCCCACAATCACTTTGATTTTATTTAGGGTAAGAAAAGAACTCAGGCGTCAAAGTGGGGGTGGTGCAGGACATTCAAGCTGTCTACAGAAGCAGTGATTTGGGGGCCAGGGAGGCACCCTAGAAATTTGTTTTTCAAACAAACTGTCAGCATGAGAAGTTGCTCCTAGTCCAGGTGGGCCCTGGATGAATTTCCTGCAGGGTGTTCACAACTGCAGATTTTCCAGGTGTCCAGTACACCTCACTCTGCAGAACTGCTCGGCACACAGTTGATTCAGGAATATTTTTCTCCTGAGAAAGATGAGGGCCACTGCTCTCCCAGCCCGACTCTACCAGATGATTGTTTTGTCCTTTGCTTGGTGAATCCAAAAGCAAACCCCATTCCTGTCCTGTGCTTCTGCTTAAATTCTTTTATTTAAAACCAATTAGCTTTTTTTTTTTTGGTACTAGGGGCCTTCACACTGAACTACGTACTCAGCTCCTTTTTAGAGTTTTGGGAAGCATCTCTCTAAATTGCCTAGGCTGAACTTGAATTTGGATCCTCCTGTCTTAGCCTCTCTGAGTGTTGGGGTTACCGGTGTGCACTGCTGTGCCCAGCTAAACCCAGTACATATATGGGCATTTCAGACTCAGGTGTGTCTGTCCTGTGTCTGTGGCACGGTTTTCCGTGCAGCGTAGTAGGGGTAAGTTACAGAACAGTGTGTCAAGGTTTCCTGAAAGCCGTAACTGTGCTCTGTGGGAATACATGGTGGTCCGTGCTAAGGAGCCTGGGGAGACCTGCCTGAAAGAAAGCAGGGAAAGTGGGGCAGCTTCAGAGGGCAGGAAGAGGCTGCTAAGGTCCCTCTGTGGCAGCCCCCACCCCCCACAGCTTCTCTCCATCTGTGGCTCTGAGCGGGGGAGTTGGGGGTGAGAGACTGTCTGGGGAAAGCCAGGTCTCACTCACACGCAGGGCTTGCCCCATGTCAGTGACACCACAGAAATACCACAAAGCCGCAGACCACAGAGAATATCGGAGCCTGAGGCAGGAGGTAGCAAGTTTGCGAGCAGCACAGGAAGTGTGTGAGGACAGCCTAAACCACAGGGTGAGGCTCTGCCTCAAACCGAGGGGCCCGGAACGGGGGAGAGGGAGCAAGAGGGACAGAGAGTGATTGGAGAGAGGGAGAGAGGGAGGGAGGGAGAGAGGGAGAGAGAAAATTCAAAAACAAGCAATTCTCAATTGTGAATTTTTTACAGATATTTTTCCATGTTTTTCCATGTTTCACAAATTCCACTAATAACCTAAAAACGGAATTTTAGAATTCCTCTCTCTCGGGCTTTTTGTGACATTTTACCATCATTTAACATAAACACTCTGGCTCTATTCTTTCAGTGTTGACGTGGATAAGATAACTGAAGTTTCTAAACCTGGCTCTCATCACAAACAGCAAATACAGTGCCTAACGAATTCATTACTCCTCTTACGTGCTGTTTATTATTTATTTGGTGTTTTGAATCTTTTATATGTAAATGGGAACTGACCTGCTTAGAGCTTAATGTCCCTTTAATACCAGATCATTTCCAGAGTAAACCTTCCCTGCTGCCTGCCAAAAGTCACATGTTATCTACATTCAGAAGAGAGGCTTGGGTGGGCATGGCAGAGTATGCTTAGAATCCCAGCATTCCAGGAGGCTGAGGCAGGAGGTCCACACACTTGACTCCAGCCTGCACAACTTAGCAGTTTAGCCAGATGCTGTCTTAAAACAAACAAATGAGGAGCCGGGGATGTCGGCACAGGCGCCTGCCTGGCCAGCACAGGCCCTGAGTTGATTCCTGGTACAAATAATAAATATATACAAGGGCTGGGATGTGCCTCAGAACAAAGGCCCTGGGATCAGTGGGAAAGAAATTGTTTTTGTTGCAAATTTTTAAATAAATAAATGAAAGCAGGCCTGGAGGTGTAACTCCACAATGTAAGAGGGTTTCAGGCTGTCTTCACGCCAACCGTGAAGGGGAAGTGACCCCTGCAGTTCTGTCTGGGCAGCTAGAGAGCCAGGCACCCAGAATCCCACTCTGTGCTGGCTGCCTGACCGGAAGCACTCTCAGAACTATGAAGGAGTCCATACACATAGAGAAATTCATTAGGAAGGGTTCAGGATACACAGCTGATGGGGACACCCCCAGGGCCAGGTGTGGGGCTGCACTGGGGATGGGTTCCAGTGCTCCTGGCCCTCTCTGGCTGCCCAGCACCCAGAGGTGCTGACCAACTCCGGAGCCCTCCCAGCTCTGTCGCTGAGAGTTCTTAATGGAGCTGGCGTCACCAAGGCACAGCAGTGAGATCTCTCCCTGTCCCTGTCCTTGGAGCCCAAGCGCTGGGGCTGAAAATTCCAGCCCTCTGCTCAGCAGCGCCATGGGCTTCCGGGAGAGAAGGCCCCTCCTGAAGCACCCTGTCTGTTCCACAGATTTTCAGGCCTTTGCACCAGGAAAGAACAAAGTGCTAGTGCTTATTTTTTTATTGTCACCATCCTAGCTCCCGCCTACAGATGCATGCGGGGGCTAGGTGGGCCTCATAGCCGGCCACTGCATGGGGCCAGGCTAGGGAGGCAGGCAGTGTGTTTCATGATCCCTGCTTTCCTCATTTGATACTATAATTTGAAGGAGGAGAGATGTACTTGGCTCCAAAACAGAAGCAGCACGGTGGAAAGGCTTGGTGGGAGGAAGCTGCTTGAGCCATGGCAGCCAGGCAGCAGGCAGAGGAAGAAAGAGCTGGGGACAAGAATGCACCCTTTCAGGCCAAGCCCCAGTGGCCACCCCAGCCAGGCCCCACTTCCTAACCACATATCCAGCTGTGAACACATTTGCGGGTGAACCGTAGCACTCACACAGTCTCCTTCCGCACGTAGCTAGACCTGGGGGACATTTTGGATCTGACCACATCGTCTCTCCTTTGCTCTCCCCAATCAGGGTCAAACAGAGGACAGACCTCATAGGCGCCTTTAAATTGGACCCTGTCTACCTGAAGCATGGCCATCAGGATTCAGGTAAGGGTGCGCTGGCCTTGGGGGCCTGTGTCCGGCCTTGTTTCCAGCAGTGCGGGAATGCACTGTGGTTCCAGGCTGTCCAGTATGGTGGCCACAAGCCACGGGCCACAAACCAGCAAGCCTTTGCCCGCCGCTGAAGAACTAAGTTTTAAATTCCTTTAAGCGGCTGAAATTTAAGTTCCCAGCTGTGACGTGTGGCTCATCACGGGAGACATAGTCACAGGAAGTGGAGACAGGTCTGTCAGCTGGTTACTCAGCAGGTCTCTCCCAGCGCCGTGACCTGCCACCTACCCTTGGGGTGCTGTTCCGTGTGTCTCTCTCGGCCTGTGGTGCACACCAGTTATTTCCGATGGCTCCGATGGTTGCCTGTTGTGTTTAATACCTGGCGTGAGAAGAACCTGAGGCCGAGGGCCGATGGCAGGGCATCGGTGGTGAGCCAGGCCTTGTGACCGGCTTCTGTCTCACAGGACGAGATGGGCCCTTTGTGCCCATTCCCCCCGTACTGCCCTTTTCCTCCTCTTTGAGAAAAGAAGGAGCTGGACAGCAGGCGGGGACGACCTCCAGTCGGTGGGTCATGCTAGATCACCGGTCCCAGCAGAATGCCTGAAGGTCAGCGACGGCCAGGCTGCAGGCTCAACTGCCCAGGAAGCCAGGGACACTGACAGGTCATCATGTGCTTCTGTGGCCTCGGTCAGTGGGCCAGGTTTCCACAGCACTCGAGTCCCTCTCTTTTAAGGGTGCAGCCTGACAACGCTGTCCTCGAGATTCTCACCCTGAGACCACTGGAAAGCTACAGTCCCTGAGCCAGGGTTCTGTCCTGGTGTGGTCCTGGACACATCACCTTAGGCGCAGACAGGGAGCATGGCCACCCGTCCTAACCGGTGTGGAGCCACCGAATCTGGAGGAGGAACCCCACTGTGGTTGTCACTATACATCTGCTCTGGCTGGACACTGACCGCAGGGCTACAGCCTCTGCTCGATTTCCTATCCCAGTGTTGGTGTGCCCTCCTGTGCATGAGTGATCCAGGTGACCCGCAGGCAGCCTCCTTTAGCCTCTGGGTGACACTTCCGGGTTTCATGCTGTCACCACAGAGAGCAAACCCAAGGACCCATGAATAACCTGTGTCCTGGCACCCCACTTGCTGGGACTCCCCTGGACTTGGTCACAGGAAATCTGCCTTGAAGATGACAGGGACCCGTGTAAGGTCTGCACTTTGGTCTGATGGCTTCTCTCTCCTCTTTTTCTCCTAGGGCTTATCACTGACTACAGGGTAAGTAAGCAGCTGACTGCTGACGTCTGCAATGTGGGCAGTGCTGGGCTTCAGGGCTGTGATGCTTAGTGTCCCTCACCCCCTTGAGCAGGGTCTCCACTGACCCGTCAGCGGGGCTCTGGGAGGTGGGCAGCTCTGCCAACCGCAGGCCCAGGGTGGGGAAGTCCTGGGCCCAGCCCTACTGCTGGGCAGGGAGGGTACCCCTCTTCTGGATGCTTCTCTAGGTCTGTGCTGGTCCCTGGGCTGGTCCCTGGGAGGGGGTGGGGGGCAGCGGCCAGGGACCAGAAGCACTCAGCAGTCTCGCCTCATATTGCTGTTACCTGCCACAAGTGCTGGGGGCCATCAATTTGGGAAACAGTGCTGCCCAGCCCTGCTCTGGAAAGATGCAGTGCTGGGGACTTAGAAGCCCTGGGGACAGGAACACGCAAGGAGAAGCACATGTGCACGTAAGAGCTGGCAGCAGTGTGGCAGTAACTGCTTTGTGACCCTGGCCATGACAGTTGTCACTGCCACCCACCCTGCCTTGTCTACCCCCACACTCAGGAAGCTCCCTGACCCAATGAGCGGCCTTTCCCAGGTCCTGGGTGTCCCCAGGGCTCCCAGCAACCCCTGTCTGGAGCAGGAGATCCAGTCTTATCCCAATTTTGCTGGAAAGCAGTTGGAAATTCAGGCCTGCAGGCCGCGGGATGGATGCCAGGACAGAATGCTGCCCCCTGCCGAGCACCTAGGGACGTGCAGGGTGATGAGCTGCCCAGTAGGACTGGCCCAGAGCAGGGGTCTGCCACAGCAGGCTTTGCACGGTGTCTGGCTGTGAACTGCACACCGGACATGCAAAGATAGCACCACTTTACTCCAGGCTGGGGGGCGGGGGGTCCTGAGCTGGGCAGCCGCTGCCACACCCATTTCTCGGGTCAGGGGACAGAGAGCTGCAGAGCCCAGTGGAAGCAGAGCCTTGGGTCTAGGTCACAGCTCCCCAGCGTAAGGCTGAGGGACTGCAATTTCTGCCCCACACTGGCAGCTCAGAGCGGGGCTAGGTGCAGCTCATCATTTCCTGGTTGTGGAGGGGTCGGTCCCGGGAAATAGACCATCTGCGGGGCTGGGGAGGGAACGGGTGCCTGACGTGGTCCTCACAGTTGAACTGTTCTGCATATTTCAGCACTGGCAGATCCCCCTGGGCCGGAGGTTCCGCTCCCTGAAAATGTGGTTTGTCTTCCGAATGTACGGCATCAAGGGGCTGCAGGCCCACATCCGCAAGGTGACCGGCTTTCGAACGGCTCGCTCCGCCTCTGCCGTCCCCTCCTCCTCTGCTCCACTTCCTCCTCCTCCTCCTCCTTCTCCTCTTCCTCTGTTATCTTCTGGCACTAAGGACTTGTGTCACTAAGGGCCTTTGCACTAAGCTACCTCTTCAGCTCTTTTTATTTATGTATTTAATTTTGTTTTGACGCAGCATCCTGCTAATTTACCAAGCTGGCCTGGGCTGGGCTCAGACTTATGATCGTCCTGCTTCAGCCTCCCAGAGTGCTGAGATTTCAGGCATGCACCCCTGTGCCCAGCCTGCCTTCGTTTATCTGAGAGCTATTACGAAGGTCTTGGGCACTTAGAAATGAATTCAGATGTCTAAGAAGGGCATACAGCCACGCTTGCTTAAGTGGGGAGGTGCGTTCTGAGTGGGGTGCAGCAGGCGGTTTTGTCACTGAGACGGATGTCATAGGGCCTGCCCCGAGCAGGCATGCAGAACAACAGCTCCCTTTGTGTGGAGTCTGGGTGTCAACGTGAGTGTGGCTCCCTCACCCGTCCACGCTGGTGATGTCTTCAGACTCCAGGACAGCTGGCCGGGGTTGTGCTGTCCTGTGTGACAACACAGCACACAGCACCCGTGTCACCAGACCAAAACAATGTAGCCGGCATCATCCCAGGCTGAGGTCTTTGGCGCCCTCTGGTGTCCGCACTCGGTATTGCTCATTTTAATGACGTGGGTCCTCACTAGCTTTGTCCCTATTTTGTGCTGGGGGGGGTGGGGGTGGTGGTGGTGGCACGTACCCCGTGATTGTTCCTGGGAGTCCTGGAAGTAAATGAACTAGAAGTGCACCTAGACCCCAGGGGGCATGGTTTCCACGGGCCACACAGCGTGTGTGTTCTGCATACACCTAGAAGGTAAATAAGGCACAAGGAGAGGAACCTGAGGACAGGGCCCCTGCTTGCATGCACAAGGCTCTGGGTTCAAAGCTCAGTCCCGCAAACACTGGGTCTTAGAATCCTCCTTGGCGGTGTTATTCTGAACCTGAAGGCCAGGTCCGGGGCTGAGTGTGCAGTGGTGCCTTGTTTCTGTGAGGAAAATCACTCTGGTGTGAGGGCCTAATGAGTTGTTCTGGGCTTCAGTCCTGAATTCAGGGTGGTGGGAAACTCAAACCCTCTCCCGTTCTCTCTCCAGCATGTGCAGCTGGCTCATGAGTTCGAGTCCTTGGTGCGCCAAGACCCCCGCTTTGAGATCTGCATGGAGGTCACCCTGGGGCTGGTCTGCTTCCGGCTCAAGGTACGCCCACACCTGGCGCAGGCCCCTGTGCTTTCTTTGCATGGGACAGAGGAGCATTTGCAGTAGTGACCTCAACACTCAAAGACTCCATGAGCTGCCTGGGGGCCTCTGCTTTCCCCTACCCCTGTCACTGGAACCCTCTGCTGGACAGTGGCTGTCCATAGCTGACCTGCCCTGGTCACTCTGGACCTGCAGCATCAGCCTCACCCACCTGCTAGGTTAGAAAAGCCAACCCCAGCTCTGCCCTGTACCCCAGCAAGATTCGTGCAGAAGGGTGAGGTAGCCCTGGGTGTTCTACTGCCTGCACTGTGTGTGCCCCAGGTCAGACTGGCCAGTGTGGGCCTGGGAGGCATCTTCGCTGGGACACTCTGCCTCGGTGGTCCTGCATGTCCCTTTAACGTCTCCCTGGAAACAGTCAGATTAAATCTGTATAACAACTTTGAGAGTACGGCAATTTTCACTATGTTGGTTCTTCCTGCACAACAGCAAGGGATATCTTTCCCTTTTCTGGTATCTTCTTCAATTCCCTTTTTCAGAGTACTGTACTACTTGGTCATGTTGTATAATCTTCTTGATGCTTTGTGGCATTCTGCTTACCAGTATCTTAATGAGGATTTTTGTGTCCTCATGATTTTCACTATGTCCTCATGATTTTGTGTCCAATGATTTTCACTAGAGAGATTGGCTAGTAGATCTCTTTTTTGGTTGGATCCTTCTCTTGTTTGAAATATTGCTTCCCTTTCAGTTTCATTAAAGAGTTTAAAAAGTAAGGATGCTAGATCTTCTTTAAATTTCATGGAGAATTTAGCAGTGAAACTCATCAGGACAGGGTTTTTCCTTGTTGGTAAAGTTTTATTTTTATATCTTCTTGATTCAGCTTCAGTAATTCATTTGTATATAAGAATCTATCCATTTTTTCTGATTTCCTTCGTATTAGAATAAAATTTGTCAAATTAGATATTCATGATCTTCTGGATTTCTGTATGCTCCATTGTGATTTCACCTTTTTCATTCCTAATTGTATGAATTTGGGCCTTTTCCTTCCATTGGTACAAACAAATGTTTGGCTAAGTGTTTATCAATTTTGTGTAATCTTTCAAAGCACCAATTCCTTGATTCCTTGATTCCCTGTATTGTTTTGTTAGTCTCAATTATGTAAATTTCTGCTCTGATCTTTATAATTTCCTCCTTCACATGATCTTTGAGTTAGACTTGTTTTTCTGTTTCTGAAAGTGTGAGGTTCAGCGTTGGGTTATTTCTTTGAGCCTCTCCTGTTTTCCTGATGTCAGAGTTCCCCTCTTAGAACTCTTTCATTGCATCCTATAAGTTCCAGCATTGGCATTATTATTTAATTGGAGATACTGTTCAAATTCTTTAACTTCATGGGGGACTCATTGGTTGTTCAGCACAGTATTATTTTATTTCATATATTTTTGGAATTTCTGCAGTTTCTTTCACTATTGATTTCTAATTTCACTGTACTATGATCTGATAATATGCATGGGATGATTTCAACTCCTTTGCATTTACTTAAGCATGTTCTAGGAGCCAGTATGTGGTCTACTTTGGGGAAGTGTGCAGCTGAGAAGAAGGTATACTCAGCCCATTTGTTCACAGGTTTGGTTCAGTTCTGACTTTTTTTTTGTACCGGGGAAAGAACCCAGGACCTTGTGCTTGCCAAGCAGGTGCCTATGCCACTGAGCTAAATCCCCAGCCCATTTCTGACATTTCTTTGTGGGGTTATTTTTGTTGCTTGTTTGTTTTTGTTTTGCTCTTTTGGTCTAGTTCTATCTATTTGTGACAGTGGGGAATTAAAATCCCCTATTACAATTTTGTTAATGCTTATTTGATTTTTCATAACTGTTAATATTTGTTTTACATAATTGGGTGCCCTGGTATTTGGTGCATTTATTCCTTTTGGTCTTTTCTCTTAATCAGTATATAATGACTTTCTTTGTCTTTTTGAACTTCAAACTTGGTTTGAAGTTCACTTTGTCTGCAAATAGAGTAGCTATCCTTGTTTTTTTACAGGTTCCTGCCACATGAAGTATTGTTTCCATCCTTTGACTGTTAGTCTATGAATTTCTTTTTGAGAAAAAATGTGTTTCTTGTATGCAGCATGTTGTTGGATCTTGTTTCTTGATCTATTCTGTCCGTCTGTTTCTTTTGATTGGTGACTTGAGACCACTTACATTAACGGTTGTAACTGATATATACTGGCTTATCCTTGTCATATTATTTTCCTGTTGTTGGTTCACTGTTTTCCCCCACTCTTTTAATTGCTTGCCTTGCCTGGTGGCTTCTATTGGTGTTCTTGGAACTGTGGTCTTTATCATCTCTTTCTAAAATATTCTTTAGAACATTTTTGGAGAGTTGCTTTGGTGGTTATGAATTTCTTCAGTTGCTTTTTCTTGGAAGTATTTTATTTCCACTGATTTTGAAAGATTTTTTTTCAGGGCATATTAATCTTGGTTGGAGGTTGTTTTCTTTCAAGACTATACACAGAGACTCCACGCTATTTAATACAAACTTAAGGGTTTGTATTGTGATTCTGATGGGCTTTCCTTTATAGGTTGTTTGCTTCTTTTCCCTAACAGCTTTTAATATCTTGTTCTGGTGCTAAATTTCTGGAATTTTGTTTATTATATGGCTTGGTGTAGATTTATCGTGGTCATGGATAATTAGAGTTCTTTTTACCTGCTTGGGAACTTTTCTCTCATTAATTCTGTGAACAGGTTTTTTTTTTTTAATGGTGTCTGTGTTTCTCCTTACTTCTCACTGATGCTGATCAATCTTATGTTGTTCTTCTTTGCATCATCTTGCAGGTGTTGGATTGATTTTTCATAGTCTCTATTTTTAAGAAATCCTTCTTTTGTTGATCAGTAACTGCAATCTTGTCTTCTAGATCTGATAATCTTTCTTCACTTTGGTTCAATCAACTGCATGTACTTTCAATGAAATTTTAATCTTTGAATATCTATTTGAATTAGTTTCATGGATTCCATGTCTTTCCTATGTTGGGCATCTACGATTTCTATCGTTTTCCTAAATTGCCTGGTTTTTTGAACCTGTGTCTATTCTCTATTCACTAGCAAGGCCTTCGTTTTGATCATAATCACTTTTTATATACCTGATTAGATTTTCTCTGTAGCCTCATTCATCTGTTTTGTTTTGGGTTTTTTGTTTGTTTATTTTTACTTTTACCATTTCAGAAAACTTAGGTGCATGGCTTCTGATTTCCTCTATCTTATTGTCTCTTGGACTTTTCCTGGGTGAGCTAGAGATCTGAGATTGTATTTTGCTTCTGCATCTTGTCATTTTTCTATTGTTTTTAATTTGCTATGTTGATGCTTGTAAATTTCTTATAGTAGATAGTAGCTTTATCGCTAGTATTAAGGCTTCCCTAGGGAATGTGTATTCCTCAGAGATATCTTTCAGGATAGCTGGCTTTTAGACTTTGTGTCTGTCCCATGATCCTAGCTTGTCAATTTATTAGGGATGAGAAGTTTGTAGCTATTTGGCTTAGTACCCAATTCTTTGGCACTGGATTATGGTTATAGTTATCACCCCAGTGTTGGCACACTAGGAAGAAAACCGATTACAACAGGTATAACATCTTGGCTAAAGTGGTACAATTAGCAACAACAGCATCACATATAGCCTAGAAACTGACAAACCATGGTAACTAGTAATTTTTATGGCTTTAACCACAGAAGCAAGATCTACAATAATATAACAAAATTCAGTATAAACTAGGAACTGACATGCAATAGTTTTTCCCTAGTACAGTAACTTTACATGTGGTGATGGTGGGGGGGTGGTGGTTAAGAGGGATGGGTTCAAAGCAGGAGAAATGAAGAGAAATATAGTAGAAGCAAGGCACAAAGGATCATCACCCAAGCTTTGGGAAACTGGAGATGAGAACAGGAGAGAAAGAATAAAGGAGAAAACAAAAGAATATCAAAGTGAACCATAAAGACTCACATGAAAATATCTAAACATCAAGAAAAAGTTGGGGAAATAAGAGAAAAAAGACAAACAAAATAACAAAAGTAAAAATCTAAATAACCCTCCCTGCAAAAAGGCCAGACAGAAAAAGGAAAATCAAACAAAGAAAAACAAAACAGATTAAGCGCCTGCCTTGGAAGCGCGTGGTCGTGAGTTTGATCCCCAGTACTGATTAAAAACAAAACAAAACAAAAAACAGAGCAAAACAAAACTCTGATGTCCACAATTCTGTGGTAGAGTCCAAGTTAGAGTGCCAGTCTGTTCTGGCTGATGCTGCCAAGTCTCCAGGAGGAAAAGAGCTGGTTATGGGGCTCATCTTGGCCTCCAGATGTGGGGGCTGGTGCCAGAGTCTTCAGCCAGCAGCTTTCTCTGTGTCCCTCAGTGGCCACAGATACCCTGTGGGTATCTGTGTGTCTCTCCCAGTTGTGGTTCCACCCTGAGACAGAGACAGCCTGATGGGGCTCTAGTACACATACAGTTGGCCCCTCTCAGCTCTTGTGTAGCTTCCCCTGTTCTTTTCCCTCGGGTCCTTCTCTCTTCTCTCTCTCCTCTCATGCTGCTGGTCACAGGGCAGGAGCAGTGTTGTCAGCCAACTCACTGCCCCTGCTGCTGCCGTGGAGTTAGCGCAAGGCTGCTCCATCCTAATTCTCCCTCCTCTCTAGAGTGTGTGTGTGTGTGTGTGTGTGTGTGTGTGTGTGTGTGCTGACTTTCCATGGGGTTCCCCATCCTGGCCCAAGGCTGCTTAAATCCTGGCTCCATTTCCCCCCATGCTGCTGGTCACAGGGCAGGAGGGGCCATGCTGTTTTGCTTGCTACCTTCACCACTGCTGTGGTCCCTAACCTCATCGTCACTCGAGATTTCAATTACTATGGTGCATGACAAAAAACAGAAAAAAAAAGGTGGTCCATCAGGCAGGGAGGGGCCTCCTGATCAGCCGCTGCTGTGTGTGTGGGTGAAATTTTGTGCCAGGCTCCAGTGCTGTTTGGAGGAAGGCAAAAGAGGTGAGGGGCCTCATACCCTAAGTCTCTCCTGGGTGGTTTGAGTTTGTCACTATGTAGTCCCTCAGATGTTTTGGAAGTTCCCAGAATGGTAGTTCCTGCTCCGCACACAGGGCGCAGTGCATGCTGGTCCACTGATTTAGAAAGTCTGGTGTACACGTTTTGTTTGACCAACAAGCCTCTCATTTCAGACTGATTTTGACATCAGGATGTTTGTCCTTCCTTTTCTGTCCATCACCTGGGCTTTTAGTAGATTTTGTCTGAGGAGCTCCAGAGTGGCTCCTCTGCTGTTCAGTGGTTCCATCTCTCTCCTTGCTCTGTCTTCCAACCTTCTCCTTGAGCGAGACCTGATTTATCCCGACTGGTGTGCATGCAGACAGTTTATAGACTGCCTGTGACCCTGCCGTGGTGTGTGTGGGCACTCTGGGAGCCAGGCTGGGATCTCAGCTAGAGGTTGGGTGGATTTGCAGGCTGAGTCCTGTTTCCAGTGTCCAGCAGGTGTTCGCTGGTGTGATTCTGCCCTGCAGCCTGCATGCTTCCCTCCTCACCAGTCTTCCTGCCCTTGCCCCCGAAGAGTGGGCCCTGAGGAATAGCACAGACGGGGAGCTGCTGCACGAGAAGATGACAGGCAGGGGTGTGGAGGGCTGGGAGAGAGGACCAGGGTCCCGGATCCCTGCGCACGCGGGTCTGGTGGGGAAATGAGGCTGCTCATGGGTTGCTTGGTACAGATCTCTTGTTCCTGGGCACTTGGTGGGCATGGTGGGGCTATTGTTCTGGGGCTATTGTTTGCCAAAAAGGCTGCCCTTGTTCGTGAACATCCTTCCTGAATTGTAGCAGTGGTTTGACTCCTGTGCATCCTCTGCTCTGTTGTGGAGACCTGCTCTGGTTCGAGATTCAGACTCAATCACGTGGCATTAGCACACTCCTTGCAGAGGGCACCCAGTCTAGGCATCTTACTCTTCTGAACAGACTGGGACCCTTAGAGGACCATCTTTTGACAGCATATTACAACGTGGAAAAATGGTCTTGCAGAGAGAGGAGGTGGCCTTTTGGGTTGTGTTGCTGTTATTGTCAGGCTCTTGCATCTCCCAAATGAGGGCACACAGTGGCCTTCTCTTTCTGTACCTTGGTCTTGCCAAACTTTAGCAGAGATCACTTTATGGGGTAGGTTGATGTTTTAAGAACTTGGGGGGCTGAGCAGTTTCTCACTTCCAATCCCTCCAGGGTTCCAACCAGCTGAATGAAACGCTTCTGAAAAGAATAAACAGTGCCAGGAAAATCCACCTGGTCCCGTGTCACCTCCGGGACAAGTTTGTGCTGCGTTTCGCCATCTGCTCCCGCCAGGTGGAGTCCACCCACGTGCAGCAGGCCTGGCAGCACATCCGACAGCTGGCGGATGATGTGCTGAGGCTGGAGAGGGCCTGAAAGCCCAGCCAGCAGGTGAGCTTGGCCCAGGCTGGGAACGCCCCATTCTTCCAGGTGTCCCCATCCTGGCTCTGCCACCTAGCGCTAGGGACTGAATCCCGTCCCTGGAGAATGAAAACCGACTCATGTTCAGCCAGAAGGAAAAGAAGCACTACTGCTAATAATTCTTCGAAAACTTAAAACTTTTATCATCGGAAAGAAGGTTATCAGTCTCTATAACATCTCAAATGCATTTATCAAGGCAACTTACAGTCACAGCAGGCTGCTATGTTAAGCTGGCCAGCTTTAGGCAAACGAGGGCAGGAATTTCTTTACTCCCCTGACACAATGCTTTCTGAAAGGAGCACATTTACACTCCTCCACATGAGGATGGGCCCCAGCAGGACAGTCCTACAACGGACATACAGGGTCAGATGTGATGTCAGTGACACGAAGGATTTTACAGCTATGTATGTGGGAGCTGAAAGAGTCGGCCGTGAAGGCCTTGCACAGGTGATACAGGTGTCACTGCACCAGAGTTCTCTCTCTCCCTGTCGGTTTGGTCCCACTTAGGGAACAGAGCAGTAAACCCAGCTCTGTGACTGCCACCTCATTAAATCCTGTTTCTCTTTATCTCCTTCCTCATTTCCTGTCTTTTATCACAACCCTTGGAGGATGCAGATTCTCACTGTATCTTCTGTGCTCCTAATTATAACCATGAAGACCTGAACTATTATAGTGCTCCAAGAACATCAAGTTTAAAGTTGCATTTCATTCTGTGAGTGGCTCTGGCAGCTGCAGAAATGTAAGGCCAAGCTAGCTACCTTGCCAATGGAAACAGGCTGAGAAGTGCAGTAAGAACCTTCCTCTGCTCTCAGCTGAGACCTCCTTCCCCAAAACGACTCAAGCCTTAGCTCAGACATCTCTGGAAGGTGTCAGGGAGGGGCTGGTGTTCTGAAATACTTACTTGCTTTAAGTATAAAAAATACACACAAAACAAAACCCCATCAGGCAAACACTCCTCGTGAATATTCCACATATCCCACAAGCTTGCATCAGACAAAGATCTTCTTCCCGTGCACCCAGAGTAATAAAAAAAGCTGTGGCCCTGGAAAAGTCAGAAACAGACGCATATTTCTGACAGAGATCACAGTTCCTGTGGGGCCTTTATATTTGCTGCAGATTCAAAAGAAAAACTGGACTCTGATTTTCTTAAAAGCTGGTAGGGTACCAAGGAGTTATAATGCAGCTCTAGCCTGGTCAGGCTAACTGGGCAATGGAAAGTCTTGGCACCTTGGTTTTATTCTTTTTTTTTTTTTTTTTTTTTTTTTTTGTCTTTTTCCTTTTTATCGGTACCCTGGATCGAACTCACGACTGCCTGCTTGCAAGGCAGGCGCTTATGCCGCTGAGCTAAATCCCCAGCCCCCGTTGGTTTTATTCTTGTGCTTATCTGAGGTTATCACTTCATGTCCACATGGCCAGAATTCTGAGCAAAGGTGGAAACTATTCCTGTTTTACAGAGTGGAGGGAATTAGGCAGAGATTCTAGTTGATATTGATAAAATTTGTCACTAGAGATGTCAGATAAGCAATGGCAACTCTGTCTTTCAGTTCAAACTATTTTACCCGGTACAGTTGCCTCTGCTATTCTGGAGAAATAGTACATTCCTTTTCTATACTCAAATAGGGAGCACACAGAATGTTACACTTTTATTTTTGGAATGCACCTGAATGTTTATGCTATTTTTCTCCCTGCAGAGATGAGAAGTTGGGTGAAAACAGTTTATCTGGAAACTGGACGGAGAAGAAAGTAATCATTGTCCCACTCCATGGAGCTTACCTGCTTGTGGCCTCATGTTAATCAGACTTGTGACTGTCTTTTTCTGTGTCTCATCAATGAAGAAATATTTACTGTATAGTTAATCCAAGTGATTGTAGCTGTTACTCATGATCTGGCTGTGATATTTGCTGATTAAAAATCATAGGTTTTCATGCACACAAAGCCATCAATGGTAGCAGAAAAGGCTTACAGAAGTATTTTCCAGGGCTGTCTGTGATCACTTGAGATTATACCTGTGGTCCTGTCACATGGCTAAATGCTTAATAAACATCTGAAGCATCTGCTCAGTGTCAAGTGACTGCCTTCTTCTATCTGTGTGCTGATTGCTATGGTGTAAAATGCCCAGATTCGCTATGCCTAGATAGTTTTAAGTGGTATGTATTCCACACATGCTCACTGAGCACCTACCCCAGGTGCTCCCTGTTCTAGATGCGTTATTAATAGTACGGAAGTTTTATGTGGAGGTGACTTCAACAAACTCATAGCCAGGAGACAACTTGGATCCAGGCAATGAGCTCCAAATTTTCTGTTGTGATGTTCTGATTTCTGGGGCCTTAGTTTTTCCTGTGTGAAATCTGTAGATACCCATACCAACCCTCTGCTGTTTTGGAGCAGCTCTGTCTTGCCTGTTCACAAATGTAGTTTGAGGAGAAGGCTGAGACAAGTCAGAGGCAGGATGGTGGGCAGCAGGTGGCTCCAGGGCTGCTGCAGGCAGCAGGTCAGCTGAGGGCTAGAACACTCCTCTTTGAACTGGTTTGATCTTTTGGGAACAGTGTCTAAGACTTCGGTTTAGATGCAGACCCAGCAGAGAGAAAATCTTGCAGGGGAGCTGGCTCATTTTGAGGTGGCCCCATCTCTCATTCTCAAGATGCATCTCTGACATAGGGCTCAGACCCCAAACCACCCAGCCCGAGACAGGAAGAAGGGCATCCTCCCAGTTTCCATAATGAAGATGCACTCATAGCACTTGCTCTAAGCCAGGCATTGCTGTGCTTAATCTAAAATACTAAGACTTGGATATTCTCAGAGGGAGGTACCCTTATCTCATTTTATAGACGCAAAAAGTGGGACTTGAGAGCTTTGGTGACCTGCCTAACGTCACCTGCATCATCAGTGGCTGAGCTGGGACTGCAGCCCAGTCAGGCTCAGGAACTCCCCCTACCCTACCCACTGTACTGTGCTTTCCAATATTCCATGTGCTCCCCACAATGAACCATGTTATGTTTATATCTGGATGCCCGATGCTTAGTGATGGCACTTTTGGAAGGTCACTGGCCCCGGGGGATATACTCTTCTGAGTTGAATGTGCTGTTGGGAGGTGGGGTCCCATCGGAAGAGGAGGTCACCAGAGCTGTGACTTGGAAGGATGTAGCTCCCTTCCCAATTCCGTCCCTGCTCTCTCTGCTTCCCCATCCCCATCCCCATCCCCGGGATATGGGCAGCTTCTCCTCTGCCGTCCCTTTACCATGCCGTCCTGCCTCAGAGCCAGTCAACCAAGGATTGTTAGTTGAGCCAAGATGAACCTTTCCTCCCAGAAGCCGTGGGGGTCAAGTGCTGTGACTCACCAAGAAAGTGACTAAGACAAACACTTATCAGGGATTTCTGCCCTTTGAGAAGAGCCCCGGATGTCTACCAGGATAAAGTTTGGAACCTGGTCCCAACTAGGCAGACAATGCCCAAATGGCTCAACACAAGGAAGCTTTTACAGGACTGGACTATTCGGATTAGTAAGTGATCAACCCACAGCATCTTATTTAACTCTGGGTTCAGCCTGGTGTCCTAACAGTGAACTGACCAGGGTGGGGTGGGAGGGGCATCAGAGGCTGACTCGGTGGCCTTTGGTGGCTGTTGATCACAGTACCCAGCTAGGAACAGAGAAAGCCCGAGGCTGAATAGAAGGATGTCTGGTAAGAAAGGGAGAGGGAAGACTTAACAGCTATCTTCAAGTTCTACTTTCCTGCTAGTCTGAAGAGACTTCGTTGTCACTCCAAAGAGCAAATAACATAGATGGTTTTTCTTTTTTTTAATGTGAAGAAAAACTTAAGCTATCAGCAAGTGGAATGTGTCTCTTCACAGTACAGTGTACATTACACCACTGTAGCTCACCATGTAAGCACGGGAGACCTCGAGCTGGGACAGAGTAAAGACATCTTCCACAAACAAAAACCAGGCTGCAATGCAGGCAAACCTTAAACTCTGTCCTACATCCGGGATTCCAACGTTCTCTGAAAATAAGAGACTTTGGCCAAATTATTAAAGAACAAGGAGAAAAATCCTGAAGGTAGAAACACCATGAAGGTGTGTTATTTTTCAGGGCTGCACTCTAACTGGGGCATCCACATGGGATGCAGGGGCAGGCCTGGCATACAAACGACACCCCACACACAGGCAGTGCTAGTGGGTTGGCCCTGGCCGGCTACTCTACGGAATTTGCCTGAGTTGATCCCCTCTCCTGTGGCTGGTGAGCAGTGGAGCTGGGACTGAAGCCTAGAGATCCCCCGTGCTGGCCTAGCCCTACCCCTCTGCCCTCACCCTGGATGCTGTAAGAAGGCCTCGTATTGTTTCATGGGGCTGCTGTAATGTGTACCAGAATTGCGCAGTCTGAGGAGGACAGAAGCTCCTTCACAGTTCTGGACACACGGTGTCAGCAATGGCTCTGCTTCCACCAAGCCAACAGATCATCCGGTAATCCCGGAGTTACTTGGCTTGTCGACCCATCGCTCTGGTCTCTGCCTCTTCCCTCCATCTTCTCTGCGCCTATCCAGCTCTTCTTCCTAAGCACACTTGTCCTACTGGAGTTGGGCCTCCCCTAATCCTGTATGAACTCATTTTTGACGTGACCAAGTCTATTTCCAAATAAAGGCAGATGTACAGATCTGTGGTCTAGACTTCAACATAGCTGTGTGTGGAACAATTCGATTCGTACAACACCAAACTGGAAACCCTAAGGAGCATTGATTATGGTGGGTCACAGAGGACAATGGCCATACAGTTCATTTTTGCTTTGTTATGCCCCACTGCAAGTATTAAGCAAAAATTATGGGAGGCCAATGCTTTGGACTGAGCTAGGTCCCAATAGCCCAAACCAAAATAGAGTCATTCAAGGCCTAACACAGTCAAACAAACTTTAAGTAAGAAGGTGGATCTCTAAGCAGGCCAACCCAACAGTATAAGGGTCACAGCAAGCAATCAGAGTTCAGTCTATGAGAGTCAGTAAGATAAGAAAGTCATACTGTTTACGCCTTACAAAGAAATTAATCTGCTGTAGTGTGATGGTAACATCAGCTTTTTTTCTTTTGTTCTGTTTTCTTGTCCTGACTGTAGAAAATCCATTGTCCTGCCTTTGATCAATGCAGATGCTTGTTCAATTTTGTACAATTCATGAGGTTACCCTGTTCTTTTATTTATTTATTTACTTATTTATTTTTTGGTACCAGCAACTGAACTCATGACCTTGCACTTGCCAGGCAGGCACATGTGTCACCAGACTAAATCCCCAGCCTCTATGAGGCTACCTGGATTCATGAATAAAAGCTAAAAACAATGTTATATTCATTGTAATTCTGTCTTCTAATACAGGGAAGGGACTGTCTCCACTCACCAACTTGCTCATGCTGATGATGCCACAGGTACCGCCTGCCTTTTACAATTCATTCCATGTGGCCAACGAAAATCTTGCACTAGAATTGTGCCTTCACTGGTTTCAGCTCACCACGTCTCATTTCCTGCAGGATGGCTACATGTCCTCCTTAGACTTCACTCACCTTCTTGCTCACCACAGTTAGGGATCAGGAAGGTTTGGAAATCAGTGGGATTTTAGTCACACTTAGGTAATTCCACAGAAAAAGAATTGTTTCAATTTGTTTGCTCATCTTGTCTTTCCTGCTTCAATCCATTCACTTCCCAGCTCACCTTCAAACACATTTTAAACTTCTTGAAAAGCAAATCTGGCAGAAAAGAATGCATATTACTCGGCACCTTGTAATCCCTCTGCTCAAAAAAACAAAAAACAAAAAACAAAAAACAAAAAAAACCCAAATGAACTCACTCAACTGTGCACTGGCATTATCTGAGATCATGTTTATAAAACTCATGAATATGGAAATGAGCAGCCATCTCCCAGAAGCCCTGGAGCAGACTGGCAAGGTCTGCTGTATGTGGGTAAAAACGCCTTCCTTGAAGGTTCAGCAACTTCTCCCCAGAAGACAGAATAAGCTACCCTGCCTGTGTTCTGCAGGAAAAGGGTTGTAATAGCTGCAAAGCTCAAAGCAGTAAACTCTTACATACAGTGCTGAATCATTAGGAGACTATCTAATGTGTCCCACTTTTCAGGTGAACAAATTTTGTTAGCATAAAGGGCCTGAATGACAGCACTGTATTATTAGTAACCACATATACTTCTGTTGAAAGTGTGCATATGCCAGATACTTTCACAATTTAAATAGTACGTAATGCATCTCTTTTATTTCCCCTTCTGATACTGGGGCTTGAACCAGGGCCTCACGCTGAGCTTCCTCCCAGTCTTTTTTATTTCGTGACAGGGTCTTGCTAAAGTTGCCCAGGTTGGGAGCTTTTGTTGACGGTCCTTTTAGAAGCCTTGTCGGAAAGGAGACTGAGAACCTGCAGTAGACCACGGGGTGCGAGGGCTGCAGAGCAGTATGGGTGATGAACAAGCTGGCTCCAGAAGCCTGCGAGAGTCCTACCTAAAAACATTAACGCGGCTCCCCGCTAGGACAAGAGGTGAGCGCTGGTGTCTGTCTTACGAACCTTTCCAGCGTCCACCAACTCTCACCACGTCCTTGTCTTTAATTCCCAGCACTTTTATTTTTGTTTGTTCCCTCTTTACTAGTATGTTCGCGATACACTGTAAAAATACATTTATTGTGCGGAACTGGGACGTGCACGTGTCGCGTCTGGATCCTTTTACTTCCCTTCCTCCCTCCTCTCTCCCCCAGTCTCCACATCCCGTCCCACTTTTTAAAAAACGAGCCCTGTGCACCATGAGCGGAACACCACCTGTCACTTAGGCAAACCCACTGTCACCCTCGGCGCCTGTAAAGTCGCGCGCGGGCAGCCTGAGAGACTTAACGACGCTGTCTCAAAATAAAAGACAGTGGGATGCGGGAGTCGCTCTGGGAGAAGGCCGTGGGTCCAACTCTTAGGACTCAAAGAGAAAAACAGTAAGCCCACCGCGACTGGACAGCTAACTTATCATCTAGCCGGCGCGACCCAAGCGGCCGCCGCGGCACGTACGTATGTACGTACGTACGCACGCACGCTCCTACGCACAGCTCAGAGAGGAACGTGTCACGCCGCGCACGCGCACTTCGCTCACTGCGCAGGCGCACAGCGCACCGCGCGCTTTTCGGAGTTCTGGGCGACCCGGCGAGTTGCGCATTGGAGGAGGTGACCAGGCGGGGCGGGGGTGCGGGGCTTGCTCGGCATTCGCGCAACAACTGCTACGGGCTGGGCCGGGGAGTCTCGTTGTGGCGCCCTTTTATTTATTTTGTTTGACTTCTGTGGTGCGGAGGGCACTGGGGCGCCGCCGGGGTGGGGCAGGGCCGCTGGGGCTGCCCGTTCGCCACCTCTGGGCCCCCGCCGGTTTCCCCGGTGCGTTTCCTGTGCTTCGCGGGGTGGCACTTCGGGCGGACGCCTAGTGCAGGCCGAGCACCCCTCGCCGAAAACCCGAAGCACTCGGCCTCGGAAACCTCCGAGCCCCTTCTCCCCCGGCACCGCAGTTGAAATGTCAATGCATGACACTTGCAGTCCTGCACGAAGGTATTAAAATGAGGCGTGCAGCTAACCAGAAGCCATGCATTTATGGTCTGTGGCATCCGAATTTCTTGTGCAGACGAGTCCCCGCCCTAAGCTGGTATATGCAGATTAACGCTGCCGGCCAGAGCGCTTTGGACCAGGGATGCTCGGCGCATGCAGGGAGTCAGGGCTGCATCACGCTGCTGGCGGTGCAAGGTCCCTGTGGCCAGGGACAGGCTGTGAATTTCCATGAGTAAGACACAGATACTTTCTCCCAGGGCTCACTGTGAGGAGTGAGGAACAACAGTGAGCGTTTATCAGTGTGAGAACCATTTTGAGTGCTTTGCAGACCTGAGACCGTTCCCCCTGAGCAGTTTTAGCGCACTATGTTACAGGGGAAACAGACACGACTGAGATCTGTCCAGAGTTGCTCACTGCTGGTGGGAAGTAGAGCACAGGCACCCTGGCCTCAGACCCGGTGCTCAGAATTCCTGTGCTCTTTGCCTCTGGTCAGTGGTTTCTGGTGTATGATAGGAGCCCTGTCAGGTTTTGTTTTTGTTTTTTTTTTTTAAATGATGTCATTTTAATGGAGACCATAAATGTAATAGTAGTTTCTTCTTCCAGTTATCCAGTTAGAAAGACAAATGCATTCTTAAAGTAATCAGAAAATTATGAAAATACAGAAATGCAGTTTTATATCAGTTCTCCTTAACTATAGTTTTTAGACTATAAAGGTTAAGTTGACTTAGAAATAATAAAGATAAATGGTAAAGATGTATCATTGAGCAGCAATGGCCAGCTTTTGCCTATCCATATCCATATCCATATCCATATCCATATCCATATCCATATCCATATCCATAGTTGTTGGATAAGTAATTGAGCTGAAAGGAAGAAGTAAGATTTGGGAGGTGACTATTGAGACAGGTGATGATGAGAGGGAGAATGGAGGTTTCTGGGAACGGTGATTAGATCCCTGAGCTGTTGGAGAAAGTCCAGGGTTGCAGGTGATAAACTGGGATGCAACTATGGAGAGGAAGAGGATGACTGCAGTAATTGTGAGAATTTTGATAAATCCTTCCAAGTCATCTGTGTTTTAGTTTCTGGTTCCAGTATTGTATAAAGGACATTAAGAGTTAAAATGGTAGAGTGGGAAGCAGGATGAACTGTTTATCTAAGTTTTGACTCTGTTCAACTTTATAGCTTTATACAAATTAGTCCCACTAGACAGTATTTTTATTAAAGACTTATAAAGACCCACCTATAATGTGACACATTCTCTGCAAGGCATTGTTGGAGATGCAAACTATATTAAACATGGCACTTACATGAAAATAATTTGATTATTCTAGGTAATTTGAAAGGTAAATTTAAAATACACAAGTTTTTACTTTTTACCTTAATGTAATGTTCTTAGAAAACTAAAGTATTTTTTATAGATTTTTCTTGTGAATACACAGGTAGATTCTACACGTGCAACATCGTGATATATTCATGATTGTTAAAATAGGAACAGGCTCAAAGAAATAACTTAGAGAAATCTAACGTAGAAGCACTTTACTAGTAGGCTGTTTGACTTTTGCTGTTTTATCTGTCCTAACAGTTGTTGGAACGGGGATTTAGCTCAGCAGCACAAGCCCATGCTTGGCAAGCACAAGATCCTGAGTTTGCTCTCCAGTACCAAAAAACAAAAACAGTTCACATTCACTGTGTGTGACATTGGGAAATTGTGAGGTTCAGCAGCAGCTGTCTCCGGAGTAAGGCATCAAAATCGTTAAATATCTTTCATATTTATGATCCATTTAGCTTCCTCTGTGACCTTTGGCAGTAGCATTAAGACACACTGGATCCCTGGTGAAGTGCCCAGTGCTTGGAAAGAAACCGTATGTTTGACTTTTGGCTCTTTTCATAGCCAGCTGTGTGACTTTTGGTAAGTTCCTTAACCCAGCCTTGGTTTCTGCATTTGTATACTGGGAACATTAGTAGTTTCCAGATTATTTTCATATTCACTACCTGACTTGATTCTTATGATGCTGCTGCTTCGCTTGACAGATAAGAAGCTGGCACGTCCAGCATAAAAGTCTTGCTTAGCGTCATTCATCCAGGTTTTCACTGAGCCCAGATGTAAACTCCTGGTTTATCTTATATAATCATAGTTTTACTATGCTTCCATAGTGCTTTTCTTTTGGTGATTAATTTCTAAACCTTTGTGTTTAAAACTTAAGAATGTTTTCTCTGCCAAGAAAATTAGATAACTAAAATACTTTAGCTCCTAAGTCACTCTTAAGACAAACTTTAATCTTAAAGACTTCATGTCAGTTTATCTTTATGTCTTGAGAGTTCACATCACATGGCAGGACTTCCATTTCTTTGGATATGTTTAAGTCTTTATAGTTGCTATGAGCATGGTTTATTTTGAATAAAAAATACTGAGGAACTGATGTTAAAGGAAACGGTTTTGTTTCCTTTGTTCACTTTACATCCATGTATCTCAGTGCTCCATTTCTTATCATTTATTAATTCACTTGGTTCTGTTGTCAACGTTCATTTTTTCCCTCTTTTCAGTGTTTTAACCTGTTGTTTGTTTTACTTACTTTGTTGACCACAACTTCTAGAAAAACGTTGAATAGTACTTACAGCAGTATGTGTTGTCTTATTTCTGAATTTTTGATTTTATACCATTCGGCCTCTTTCTTGCCAAAAATTTGGTTAAAGTGGTGTCTATTCATAGACTGAAAAGCTCTGTATTTTAAAAACTACCAATAAATACTGAATTTAAAATATATCTTTATATCTTGAGTAAAGTCTATGATTTACTTGATATTTCTCTTATAAATAATGTCATTATAAGTAAGTTTTATAAGTTAAAAACTCCAACATAGTTTCCTTACCAGAAAGTTTTAAATATGTTGAAACCATCATGTCTATTTTCTTCCTGCTACTCGTATATCTTTCATTTTGGTCTCTTGTAGAACCTCTAGCATGCAGGCCCCCAGCTCTCGGTCTGTGCACCTGAGCGAGTGGCAGAAGAACTACTTTGCAGTCACATCTGGCTCATGTACCCCGGAACAGAAGGCAGATGCATACCGCGCACAGATACTACGCGTTCAGTATGCCTGGGCAAACACCGAGATCTCCCAGGTCTGTGCTTCCAAACTGTTCAAAAGGTATGCAGAGAAATACTCTGCAGTTATTGATTCTGACAATGTGGAAACTGGCTTGAATAACTATGCAGAAAATATTTTAACTTTGACAAGATCTCAGCAAGCTGACAGTAACAAGTGGCAGTCTGGGTTGTCAATAAACAGTGTTTTCAAAATGAGTAATGTGCAGAAGATGATGCAGGCTGGCAGGAACTTCAGGGACTCTGTGCTGGGACCTGCGGATGCATCGGTGGTGATCCAGCAGGAGGTCCCTGTCTTTGATTTTCCTGACTCTGGTGTTCGTGGGGGTGCAGGAGACGGTGACCTGTTACCCAGCTCAGTTCCTGACACAGCCAAGATCCATGACATCCCAGGCAGCAACCCTTGGAGGTACCCTCAGAGCATCCAACCATCCATGGTGCCTGACAGTGCTCGGACTTGTCCCACATCGTCCAGGCATTTAGATGGGTCAGCCACAGCCAGATTCCACACCACGCCATTGTTTGGAGGTGGCCCAAAGGAAAGTCACAGCTCTCCTCAAACCAACACAGGAAAGCAAATGTTCTCATCCAACCTGTCTCCTTTTTCTTCTGGCTGTGAAAACCTCCAGGCAAGGAGGGCTTTTTATAGTTCTGTCTCCATTGATGCTCTTTCCAATCCAGTACTGAATAAGACTTCTAACAAAACAGAAGATGACAGCCCAAGGGAGGACAGAAATCTGCCTACTTTTAAAACAGCAAAGGAACAGTTATGGGTAGATCAGCAAAAAAAGGGCCAACAATCCCAGCGTGTACCAGGGTCCTCATATGGGGGTGTGAAAAAGTCTCTGGGGGCTGGTCGATCTCGAGGGATATTTGGGAAATTTGTTCCTCCCGTGCCAAAGCCTGAGGGGGCAGAGCAGGATGGAGGCATGCAGTACAAGCCGTCCAGGGCAGCGCCCACAGAACCAGTCCATACTGCTGACGAGCGGCTCAAGAACTTGGAGCCTAAGATGGTTGACCTGATTATGAATGAGATCATGGATCATGGGCCTCCAGTGCACTGGGACGACATCGCGGGAGTAGAGTTTGCGAAAGCCACGATAAAGGAAATAGTTGTGTGGCCCATGATGAGGCCAGACATCTTCACTGGGTTACGGGGACCCCCTAAAGGGGTTCTGCTGTTCGGGCCCCCTGGTACTGGAAAGACTCTGATTGGCAAGTGCATCGCCAGCCAGTCTGGGGCGACCTTCTTCAGCATCTCGGCCTCATCCTTGACCTCCAAGTGGGTGGGAGAAGGGGAGAAGATGGTGCGCGCTTTGTTTGCTGTGGCGAGGTGTCAGCAGCCAGCTGTGATATTTATAGATGAGATTGACTCCCTGTTGTCCCAGCGAGGAGATAGTGAACACGAATCCTCTAGGAGGATAAAAACGGAATTTTTAGTTCAGTTAGACGGAGCAGCCACATCTTCTGAAGACCGAATTCTAGTAGTGGGAGCCACAAATCGGCCCCAAGAGATTGACGAGGCTGCCCGGCGAAGGTTGGTGAAGAGACTGTATATCCCCCTCCCGGAAGCCGCAGCCAGGAGACAGATAGTAACAAATCTGATGTCCAGGGAGCAGTGCGAGCTCAGCGAGGACGAGATCCGCCAGGTTGTGCAGCAGTCTGATGGTTTCTCAGGGGCAGATATGACCCAGCTGTGCCGGGAGGCATCCCTCGGTCCCATTCGCAGCTTACAGACTGCCGACATTGCTACTATAACTCCGGATCAGGTCCGGCCCATCGCGTACGCTGACTTTGAAAACGCGTTTAGAACTGTGCGGCCCAGCGTATCTTCAAAGGATTTGGAGCTGTATGAAGACTGGAACAGAACCTTTGGCTGTGGGAGGTGAATGGGACGCTGCAAATTAAAACGTGACATCTTTTTAGCACTGGCCAGTTTGTTTTTAGCACAGGAACTGGGGACATGGGAAGTACACTGCTTGGGACGTGCTGTGAATTCTGCACATTGGAGGAGGGTAGAAACAGTTCAGGGTTTCCAGCCGGTGGTTTGGCCTGTGTTGAATGCTTTACTTGCCTTCCAATTGTTGTCTGACGTCTGTAAGTTATTTAAGCTGCATGAGGCTGAACTTTTTGTTTTACTTCTAGGAAGTCTTGAAGGTGAATAGCGAGCTCCAATCAGAGCTTTACTCTGGAGATTATGTTTATTAGTGCGAACGTATTAAACGAAGTTCCTCTGAAGGTCTTGTGGTTCTTACGGTTGGCTGCAACAGTGATTTCCATTCCAAGCTGCATTGGTCGCTCCCATTTAGCTGCCTAAAGATTTCATCAAAAGCTAGAATAAAACTGACAGCTTTCACTTCCTTTGGCAAGTTTGTTACTTATTTTATGATTTTCTTTTCTTATCAAGACTAATAACGTGTTCAGAATTAGCAATCTATCGGAGACACAGCCACAGAACCGAAGGTAAAGAGTGCTGTACTTTTGCAGAGAATCTACAATGTTTACATTAACAAATTATTTGATACTACTTCACCACCTGTCATATTACTATTTTTTTTTTTTTTTTGTCTTTTTCCTTTTTATTGGTACCAGGGATCGAACTCACGACTACCTGCTTGCAAGGCAGGCGCTTACATATTACTATTTTTTAAAATAAATGTTTTCAGGCTTATAATGGGCCATTTGGTTTTATACATAATATATGTGCTCATTGTGAAAACTTTAGAAAATAGAGATGAAAAGAGAATAAAAATCACTATTATATTACCATATGGGAGAAAATTTTATTTCAGCGTTGATTCTCTTAGAAGTCGTTTTTTCAAGCAAAAGAAATTGTACTATGCATCAGCTTTTGTTACCTGCCCTTTTCAGGAAAGCACGTTACCATTTTCCACATTAATAGACATCTATGAGAGTCTTCCTTTATGTGGTTGCCCAGAAACCCATTGTGTGAGGTGAACTGTGATCAGCTCAGTCCTCTGTTAAAAAGGGCATTTCGGGCAGGACTGTATGCTGCTGTTTATTAAAAATGCAGTCTTGAAAAAGGGGAAGGTGTGTGGCTCAGTGGCAGAGCTCTTGCCTTGCATGCACAGTGCCCAGCACCACACACAAGAAGATAAAAATACATAGTGTCTGTGTGAACCTCCTGAGTAAAATGTGTGGGGTAAGAGTGCACGTGTTTGAAATTTTGGCAGGTGTTCCTAAGTTTTCCTCTGGAAAAATAATTCTGCCTATTCAGAATTCCCATTACAGTGAATCAGAGGGGCTGTTTGTCTGTGCCACGTAGGCACTGAGCAGTGGGGAGTTTTCTTTCTGTTAGTGTTCTTCTGCATTCATTCCTGTGAAACTCGGATGCCAGCCAGAGTTCCAGATGCTGGAGGTAAAGCTGGGAACCAGACACAAACGCTCCTGGCTTCAGAGAAGTCACATTCTGGTTCTCTCTTGTGAACACTGAGACTTGAAATGGGAGTTAAGGCGCTTTTAGCTGATGACTTCAGACAATTTGTTTCTGGGATGTGTAGTTTAAATTTTTATTCACCTGCCTCTGCCTTCTGTTTTTATACATATAAAAGGCTTTATTATTCCAACTTTCCCCTTTAATACACAATTATCTTTGTTAAGATTTGGATGTCAAGTTTCTTTAACATCTTAGAACATAACAGTGCATACTTGGACCCTTTTTGTTAAAACACTGTGTCATGGTTTGTGTCTGGATGTCCTTCCAAAGCCCCATGTGCTTTTAGGTGGGGCTTTTCTGGAGGCCGATGAATCTGGAGGGTGTGGCTGAGTCCTGCCATGCTGGGATTAGGGGTGGGTGAGTGCTGGATCTGTCTGCCGATGGGATTGGCGCCACCCTCATCGCAGTGGCAGAAAGAGGCTTGTGTGTCTCCCCCTGGCTTGCTGTTGCTGTGCTGTGCTGCCACGAGCTGCATCTCCCCAGGGATGCCTCTGCCTCAGACTCAGCCAGTTACGGACTAAAACCTCTACAAACTGAGCTGAATAAACCTTTCTTCCCCCTTTAACATTGAGTGTTGGGTACTTTGCCTCAGCCATGAGGGAAAGTAACTAAAACATACTATATAACCTTGGAATCTTAGGTATTGCTGTCAAGGAAGTCTTAGTTTTTCTCTACTGGTATTCTCCTCACATCTTCTGGGGTCTTAGTTACCGTAGTATTTAGATTTAGGGGCAGTTGCCTACTAGGTGTTAGGATTTGTTTAACTCTAACTCACTCTTTTTTAATAAATCAACTTTTCTTTTAAAATGATCTCACCATGTAGCCCAGCCCAGCCTAGAACTTGTGATCCTCTTTCCTCAGCCTCCCAGTGCAGGTACTGCAGGTGTGTGCCATCGTGCCGGCCACTGAAACTTGGCCTTAATGTTAAATTTTAAAGCTGCAATTCCTGCCAGTCCTGACTTTCAGCGCCTTTGATCCCCAGCACTGAGCGAGTTCCCTCTGTGGAGCTCGGTGTAGATTGCATCCAAGAGAAAAGCCCGGATTCTGCTTGTCATGGGCTGTGGCTCTGGTTAGCAGCTCTTCTGGGCTGCTGCTCTGCTGAGTGAGAGTCCGCTCCAGGAATACTCCAGGGAGAGTATCACACAGGAAGGAGCTGGGCAGACCCTGGGTCACCGCATCCACACAGTCTCACAGCAGCTGGGGACAACTAACTACAGGTTTCCACGGCGTTGTGAAGCCACTGTTTTCAGGAAAGTGAACACTGATTGCAGAGTCAGGTTCTTTTATAAAAAGACACCTTATCCCAGCACGTGTCATGCTTAAAATTTTGGTAGGAATATAGTAACTAACCCAAATGTATAATATTGGGCATTCATTTATTTATTATTTGGCTTCTGAGTTTTATACTTAGAAAGGACACAAGCTGGGTGTGGTGGCTCACCCTGTAATCCCAGCACTTGAGAGGCTGAGGCAGGAGGATTGAGAATTTGAGACCAGCCTGGGCTACAAAGTGAGCTCAAGTCCAGCCTGAACTGCATAGAGAGACCCTATCTCAAAAAAAAAAAAAGATTCTCTATTTTTATTTTTCTTATTTTTCCATAAATTGTTTCCAAAAATTTGACAGGAATAAAAATCATATTAATGGGGTACCGTGTAACATTTTCATATGCATGTACATTGTGCAGTGTTTAGATTGAGTTAAACACCTGTATCATGTCATCTGTCATCTCTTCAAAGTAAAAATACTCAGCATCCTAGTTGTGTGTGTGGTGTGAGGGTTGACTCAGAGCCTTTGTACTAGGCTACATACATCCTCAGACCTTTTTATCTTTAATTTTTTATTCTGAGGTGCTCACTAAGTAGCCTAGGCTGGGCTCAAACTTGAGATCTTTATGCCTCAGCTTCCCAGAATACTGGACTTCCATGCATGTATCACCACACCTGGCCTCGTCCAGCTTTTTGTGATACATGGTACATGACTGTTCTATACTCAGCCTAGTAGTATATTCAGAGCTTTTTACTCCTAGCTAACTGTAACCCCTTCTTCAGCCTCCCTAGCCTCTGGCATCCTCCATTTTCTGTCAGCTTCCAAGAGAAGAATTTCTTATGGAGCCCAGATAAGTGAGAGCAGGGCTATCTGTGCTCAGCCTGGCTTATGTCATTCAATGTAGAGATCTTTAGTTCTGCTCTTGTTGCAGAAGCCTGGTGTTCATTCATTCATGTTGTGACTGAGTAGGGCGGTGTGTGTGTGGATAGCTGGGCTGACCGCATGTCTCTGTGGCTGTGACAGTGCTGCAGTGGCTGTGGAGTGCGGGTGGCCAGATAGGATATCTTTGCCTTTGGTGCATGCCCAGGAGTGGCACGGTTGCATTAGCTGGCCATCGTATTTTTATTTTTTGAGGAGCTACCACACTGTTACCATCTCTCTGTTCCCATTTCTGCCCACAGGATGCCTTCCAGGCTTCTCTTTTCTCCACCTGGGGCCAGCCCTTAAAAGTTGTGCCTTCTGATAGCAGTCATTCTGTCTGGAGTGAGATGCTACCTCATTGTTTTGTTCTTCCCTAAGGACGTAGATGGGGAACAGATTCTCATACACCTGCTACCCATTTGCATGTCTTCTTTTAAGAAATATTCCTTTAGAAATACGTTTTAGAAATGTTATTTGATCAGGTGCTTGGTTTGGTTTTTGGCTGTTGAGGTTTTCGATTTCCATTTCTATTCTGAATGTCAGATGTATTGTTTGCAGATACTTTCACTTGTTCAGTAAGCTGTCTTTCACTCTGATGATGATTTCATTTGCCATGCACAAGCTTTTTAAGAACTGATTGGAATTATATCAAGTGCGTCAATAGCTTCAAGTATGGATACTTAACAACATTCTTCCAATCCATGAATGAGAGAAATCTTTCTCTTTTTATGTGTATCTCTTCCATCAGAGTTTTGTAATTTTAATTTTGTGATTTTCAAGGTATTTAGCTTCCTTGGTGAAATTTATTCCTGATTTTTTTTGTTGTTGTTGATAATATTTTTGGTAGCTATTGTGAATGGGATTTTTAAAAAATGATTTCTTTCTCAGTAGTTTCATTATTGGTGTATAAAAATATTAACAGTTATGTTTTTGTTTTTGCAGTACTGGGGATTGACCTCAGACCTCATACATGCTAGTCAAGCAGCAATGGATTACTGATTGTTGTATCCTGCAACTTTATTGAATTTTAAATTAGTTGTAGTGGCCTTTTAGTGGAGTATTTCGGTTTTTATAGATATAAAATGGTGTCATCATGCAAATGGAACATCTGACCTCTTCCTTCCTATTTGTGTACTTTTTATTTCTTTTCCTGGCCTAATTGTCTGACCCAGACTTCAGTACAGAACTGTGTTGCATAAGAGTGGTAAGAATGGGCATCCTTATCTTGTTCCAGATTTTAGAGGAAAACTTTCTGGTTTTCCCCCTTTTTATTGTATTGGAATATGTTTCTTTTGTACTTGTCCAGAGTTTTTTTTTTTTTTAATCATGAAAGGTATTGAATAATGTTATCAAATAACTTTCTATATCGAGATAATCACATGATTTTTGGCTTTCATTTTGTGGATATGATGTATTCTGTTGGTTGATTTGTGTTGTTGACTCACTCTCACACCTCTGGTAAATCCCACTGGATAAAGATGAATGTTCTTTTTGAGATGGTGTTGGAAGCAATGGGTTACTATTTTGATGAAAAATTTCACATCTGTATTTTGTAGAGAAATGTGTGTATAGTTTTTTGTTGCTGCTGCTGTTGTGTTAGGCCTTTTGAAATGTGCCTATTACACCTCCATTTGATTTATATTTTGAGGAACTCTTTATTCCCACCTATGGTCTTCTTCATTCTTTTGAAATTTTAATTCATGGTCTGAATTCTAAAATATTGCTAACTCCGCCATCCACATTGATGCGCTATCCCGAGTGGCATCATGGCGCACAGATCTCAGGCTCTGGCCAAATGGGTTGTTAATTCTGGCTGTCATGGACTAGTGGTTGTGCAGTTGGGATTCTGTTTAAAAAGTCTTTGTAGCCATGTGTGGTGGCACATGTCTGAAATCCCAGCACTCTGGGAGGTAGAGGCAGGAGGATCACAAATTCAAGCCCAGTCTGGCCTATTTAATGACTTAATGAGACCTGGTTTCAAACTAAAAAATAAAAGCATTTGGGGATGTGGCTCAGTGTGAAGGCCTTGGACTCAATTCCCATCGTCACCAGAGCAAACTACACCAAACAAAAAACTACCTGTACCTATGTCTTCAATGCAGACATTCCCTGCTTAACAACTAT